AAGTGTGTACCCATGTGGGGCCCGGATGTGTGTACCCATGTGGGACCCGGATGTGTGTACCCATGTGGGACCCTGATGTGTGTACCCATGTGGGGGCCTGGATGATGTGTACCCATGTGGGCCGGATGTGTGTGTACCCATGTGGGACCCGGATGTGTGTGTGTACCCATGTGGGACCCGGATGTGTGTATGCGGTACCCATGTGTATGTGGGCGGATGTGTGTACCCATGTTGGGTTCGGACCCGGATATGTGTGTACCCATGTGGGACCCGGAATGTGTACCCATGTGGGGCCCGGAAGTGTGTACCCATGTGGGGCCCGGATGTGTGTACCCATGTGGGGCCCGGAAGTGTATACCCATGTGGGGCCCGGATGTGTGTACCGATGTGGGACCCGGAGCTGTGTACACATATGGAACCCTGATGTGCATGTGTACCCATGTGGGACCCTGATGCGTGTACCTATGTGGGACCTGGAGGTGTGTACACATATGGAACCCGGATGTGCATGTGTACCCATGTGGGGCCCAGATGTGTGTACCCATGTGGGGCCCGGATGTGTGTACCTATGTGGGACACTGATGTGTGTACCTATGTGGGACACTGTTGGTGTACCCATGTGGGGCCCGGATGTGTGTACCCATGTTGGGTTCGGACCCGGATATGTGTACTCATGTGGGACCCTAATGTGTACCTATGTGGGGCCCGGATGTGTGTACCCATGTGGGACCCGGATGTGTGTACCCATGTGAGACCCTGATGTGTGTACCCATGTGGGACCCTGATGTGTGTACCCATGAGGGACCCCGATGTGTGTACCCATGTGGGGCCCGGATATGTGTACCCATGAGGGACCCCGATGTGTGTACCCATGTGGGGCCCCGATGTGTGTACCGATGTGTGGCCCCGATGTGTGTACCGATGTGTGGCCCGGAGGTGTATACCAATGTAGGGCCTTGATGTGTGAACCCATGTGTGACCCTGATGTGTGTACCCATGTGGGACCCTTATGTGTGTACCCATGTAGGACCCTGATGTGTGTACCCATGTGGGGCTCGGATGTGTGTACCCATGTGGGACCCTGATGTGTGTACCCATGTGGGGCCCGGATGTGTGTACCCATGTGGGACCCTGATGTGTGTACCCATGTGGGACCCTGATGTGTGTACCCATGTGGAACCCCTGATGTGTGTACCCATGTGGGACCCTGATGTGTGTACCCATGTGGGACCCTGATGTGTGTACCCATGTGGGACCCTGATGTGTGTACCCATGTGGAACCCGGATGTGTGTACCCATGTGGGGCCCGGATATGTGTAACCATGTGGGACCCTGATCTGTGTACCGATGTGGGACCCTGATCTGTGTACCCATGTGGGACCCGGATGTGTGTACCCATGTGGGGCCCGGATGTGTGTACCGATGTGGGACCCGAATGTGTGTACCGATGTGGAGCCCGGATGTGTGTACCCATGTGGGGCCCGGATGTGTGTACCTATGTGGGACATTGTTGGTGTACCCATGTGGGGCCCGGATGTGTGTACCCATGTTGGGTTCGGACCCGGATATGTGTACTCATGTGGGACCCTAATGTGTACCCATGTTGGGCCCGGATGTGTGTACCCATGTGGGACCCGGATGTGTGTACCCATGTGGGACCCGGATGTGTGTACCCATGTGGGACCCTGATCTGTGTACCCATGTGGAACCCCGATGTGTGTACCCATGTGGGGCCCGGATATGTATACCCATGAGGGACCCTGATGTGTGTACCCATGTGGGACCCTTATGTGTGTACCCATGTGGGGCCCCGATGTGTGTACCCATGTGGGGGCCCGATGTGTGATGTGTGTACCCATGTGGGACCCCGATGTGTGTGTACCCATGTGGGACCCTGATGTGTGTACCCATGTGTGACCCGGATGTGTGTACCCATGTGGGACCCTGATGTGTGTACCCATGTGGGACCCTGATGTGTACCCATGTGGGACCCCTGATGTGTGTACCCATGTGGGATGTGCCCGGATGTGGGAATGTACCCATGTGGGACCCTGATGTGTGTACCCGATGTGGGGCCCCGATGTGTGTACGGATGTGGGGCCCCGATGTGTGTACCGATGTGGGGCCCTGATGTGTGTACCCATGTGGGACCCCTGATGTGTGTACCCATGTGGGACCCTGATGTGTGTACCCATGTGGGACCCGGATGTGTGTACCCATGTGGGACCCTGATGTGTGTACCCATGTGGGGCCCGGATGTGTGTACCCATGTTGGACCCTGATGTGTGTACCCATGTGGGACCCCTGATGTGTGTACCCATGTGGGGCCCGGATGTGTGTACCCATGTGGGACCCTGATGTGTGTACCCATGTGGGACCCAGATGTGTGTACCCTGATGTGTGTACCCATGTGGAACCCCGATGTGTGTACCCATGTGGGGCCCGGATGTGTGTACCCATGTGGGACCCTGATGTGTGTACCCATGTGGGACCCTGATGTGTGTACCCATGTGGGACCCGGATGTGTGTACCCATGTGGGACCCTGATGTGTGTACCCATGTGGGGCCCCGATGTGTGTACCGATGTGGAGCCCGGATGTGTGTACCCATGTGGGGCCCTGATGTGTGTACCCATGTGGGACCATGATGTGTGTACCCATGTGGGGCCCAGATGTGTGTACCGATGTGGGGCCCCGATGTGTGTACCCATGTGGGGCCCAGATGTGTGTACCGATGTGGGGCCGGATGTGTGTACCCAAGTAGGGCCCTGATGTGTGTACCCATGTGGGCCTGGATGTGTGTACCCATTTGGGGCCAGGACATGTGTACCCATGTAGGGCCCGGATGTGTGTACCCATGTGGGACCCGGATGTATGTACCCATGTTGGGTTCGGACCCGGATGTTCGGCGTGACGTGTAACCGTTTAGCAACAAGGATACACCGGCACGCCTGTCAACTGGAGACATTTATCCGAGATGTTAGTACTGATTAACAGATGAATGGTCAGTCGGAGCACATACACCTTGCATGTACTCCTAACAATGATGGCAGGAGAGCATTCGTGACCCCTTGTGTCGTTCCGGGACGAGTTGTAGGTTACGGTAAGGACGCGTGCCAAAGAACGGATGTATATGATCCTGACTGGACTAACGCTTAGTCTCTGAATATATATAGTTTTGATTGTAACAAATAAACCCATTTAAATTGAAAGGAGCCCCTGTGAGATGTGAGATCCGGAGAAAATCTAGACTTGCTTCATTTAGGGCTTTAGTATTGCAGGGAAGGCTAGGTAGGAGGGGAAATAATGTGGTTAAGGGACTGTGAGACAGACTAGATCCTGACATGCGCAGATCCCATATGTTCTACTTCCTGTGTTTCCGATTCCTCATTCAGACCAAACGCTTATCTACCGGACCCGTTCACGATGTGTGCCAAATGAATTGTAAACTACGCGCTTTGAAATCCGCACAGTCAGAGGTGTAATAACTCCTCCAGTATTTCGTACCTCCTTCATCACCTTGTCAAACATGATAGCCTTCATTAAAACCGTACACCCTGATAAACTGCATATTTGTCGAAATAAATTTGACAAATATTAAGCCGTTCTTATGTGTGTGTCAAGAATAACTCCATGAGCCTATTGAGGACGTGGATTTAGTATACTTCCCCTGTATCTCAGCAGCTGTGACGAGCTAAGGTGGCGCCGAAGCTTCAGCGACGGGTTACATCGCCACATCTATCCGTCATCAACGTCGCTAGCTCATGCTGAGCTATTATTTTATAGGGACATGGCTCACTGTCTGCTTTCCAACCTTTCACAATTTGATTCAATATCTTTGAGGCTGTAGATCTCTCCCACTGTGTGACGGACGACTCGGTCCATTATAAAGCTTGTTTGATGGGCCTAACCACCCTCCTTCACTTTCATCCACCGCCGCGTCCAATTTCTGTCTATAGGACAGACATTAACATGACTGGTTGACTGGTATACTGAATTATTCTGGCTGGGATAAACACAGAACAAACGCAGCAATAACGACGAGGTGACTAGGTCGTGTGCATGTCTTACACCATTGCTCACACTGATATACTTAACAAACCAGTACTCTACCACTGCATAATTCATATCACTGATATTGCACTAGACGTTCCGTGGGTATATTAATGGTATAACACTGCCGACAACGCTGTACGGAGCTTCAGTGGGTCAGTTGGCATGGTACACATGGGATCCGCGGATAGACAGGGAATCAGGGCTAATGAAAATTATACGATTAATGCTGAAGAAATGGTAGTGGTACGCGTGTACAACTACTGATTCAGCCAGACAATTTGTCGCCATGTGAGAGATGCTCTAGTGCAGGGCCTGTCAGCCGTATCGCTGTGTGGAGACAGGAGCTGGATTTTTATTTATAGGAGTCCCCTAATTTAGTAAACTACCAAGATGCGTGATAGCAGATTAGAATAACATGTTATTATAACAAATCATAGGGTCTTGTATTAATGGTAACTGCTATATATTTATTCACAGTTTTGAGTACAGTTCCACGGGGTATACATTTTGTAGACAGAATGGTTGAGGGAAACGAGTAAGTCTGTGAGAAGTAAACCAGTAATAGCGTTCAATATCACACGGTATTGACTGACTAAACTGGTATACCGATTCCCTAATAATGTGACATATCATTTAGCAGTACAATAGAAAAATACAATGTATGAAAATAATTTCAAAATATATAGCACACAAATATAGCAGGCTAAACTGGAATTCAAATTCCTTAAACAAGTAATTTCAACAAATGAAATACTTTATATCATCATGTTGAAAGTTTCGAATTTGTGGAATATCCCTAAAAGATAATGGCATCAGCAGTTTCCGTTGATTTTATATTAATTTTCATGAATCGCTTTGTTCCGGATAATAATGACGAATCAAATCTACTACCTCAGTGGACCTGCATGATGACACTCAGACAGATACAACCCAACAGTGACCCAGAACGTGTAAAATGTAAGCTCTATGCAGCATTAGACTTAATATGTTTGATTTAAGGACATGTTTGACACATTTGAGATAACCCATATGACACCCGCGGCGTCAAACCAAGAAAAGTCGGTTATCAAATTCACATCAATCTACAGCCACAGTCTCTTACAGTGACTGTTATTAATGCAGATTTGCATATAATAAATTACAAGAAGTTCTAAAATCCAAAGAAGTCAGATAACTCGACATCCAGACATGTTAATTGGCAGTATTCTTGAGCGTGTTCTGGTTGTTGACAAGGAGCTGCGTAATGCTCGTCCCTGTATGTAGACTCTGCTAAACATGAAGTCTCTTGGACAGCCTGGGTTGGCATTTCTGTCTGATGACAGGCAGTCTTGGCGCCAGGTTGGTGGTGCGTTGTATATACCTACAAACATATGTTATAGATTGGCAAAGAACAGGACAGTGGAACATCCATAACTGTACTCCAGCATTAAATTAAACCGCTGTAAATGATTTATTACTTTAACACTGTCATGGTGGGTGTCGGATGATAATGAAATATACATATATATTGTGTACTATCAAAACAGGAGAATATACATACTTATATACTCGTCATGTGTGAGATCTGACAACTATCATCAGTTACATTAAGATGAATCTATATTCATTGCTTGACGCATGGAATTAAGCTGTACGTCACTCGGTGTAAACCATATACATTGAAATAGCTTTTCTACATTTCTAGTGACATGGTGACGTTAAGTTGATTGGGATATCAATTGCCACGAGATGGAACTGTGACTACTTCATCACTGATACATACCGTTATACATAATAACACACATATCGTCCCATAAACACACATCCGTGACAAATACCAATTGTAATGCAGACACCTATCTCATATCTCTTCTAATATCTGTGGCAATTTAAAAAGTACATGAATTTCTGACTTCATATCAATACAATTAGCAGGTAGCTCGCATCCTGCACGTTGAAATACATAATATAAATATAGAATAAATAATAAAATCAATTAAATGCTAAAATATAGATATGAAACGTCATCGTCGAACGATATGTAATCGATCACTGGAAATAGTTGATGAAACTGTGTGTTTGAGAAATATCACTTTCCCAGTAGAACTAGTGCTCATCTATTTTCAACAAAGATTAAAAATGAAATGTGTAAACGTCTGAAACACATATTCACACATATATAATTCAGGATCGATGTGTAAAATAAGGTGATACTTTGATATCATATCACTCAGTACATTATCGGGAATAATTCATAACTGTTGGACTCGATTTACCCGACCGATAGGCGTAGTTTACAAAGAACGTTTCAAGCCATATGTGCTTCTAGATATAATGGCATCGCTTTACCTGCCTCAAATCTTCGTGAATTATATTGACAGTTTGCAAGTAATATATATGAGTATTAACGTGCGCTGTATGCTTGTGTTCAGACGTTGTTTGTGTTAATGACACAAACGTTTCAACACAATTAAGGTCATATTTTCTCTTTATCTGAAATCAGGATTCATATTATTACAATGCGGTCTACTTACAATGCTTATACCGTTCTCATTTATCCAGTCTTCTTACACAACTGGCGTCACATGAATCCGTTCCGGCTTGTAATTACTTCAGTGTCGCAATGTTTCTAAATCCATGTCAATTTGAATTCCATTACGTTATCAAGAGTAATAGGGAGTTTCCAGATCTGCACGGACAAGGTACTAGATAACTAGTTTATGCTGTGGTTTCCGGCCATTATCAGAGGTCTAGCAGTGCGTGGATGGGTATTTATTTTCAGTGTATATTGCTAAACACAGACAATAATTTTCTACAATCGTTTACTTAGTACACATCGATCTGACAGTTTTACCATAGGTTTAGCTGTATGAGTAACGATATGGAAATACTGAACTCAACATCCGCGGCGTACATCGCGCCATATTCCTCCACCCTTATTTATACGACAGCTTCTACTGCACATCACCATGTTCACATGGTTAACACAAAAACCTATTTTCGGACATCAATAGATAACAGGGCCTCTTGTTGTTGTAGCAACGGTGGTATTTAAATTGTATTCATTAATATGCATGTAATTTATTGTCTAATTTTCGAAAGAATGTGTATATTGCACATACCATGACTAATGTAAATTCATATACAATGTAAAACCACATGTATTATACCAGTTTTGATCCATACTCGATAGGCCCTGTGTCGGTTCGGTAAATTCAGCATAATCTTTGTTCAAGCCGATAGACAGGTTGTTAACCAGCGACACATCACCAAGTGTCTGTCCAGAAAACAAACACAAACAATTTATGAATATGTCTTGTATCGCATAATATTATTTTCATTACATGCCAGCTCCAATTTTAACAGTCAAATCCACTTTCTCTATCTCAGCTATGATTTGAATAATTCTTTGTTCGAGAGGAAAGTAGAATCCAATGTTTTCTATTTTTTAAACTGTATGAAGAGATATACACTATATTAGAGATTTACTGCAGCCATCACGTCTCTCCGGCATGACTGTAACATCACAAAACCGACATAAACTACATCATGCAACATGAACGACTACAACAACGCTACATTACCCCATCGACTACTTCCCCATTAGCGTCAGCCCCATCATGTCTGTCATGCTGATCTCGACGTCAACATCAACAACATCAACACCATTAAACTGGAATGTTTATCTCGCGGGCCATCCTACCCAACATACAATACATCGCCGACGTCGACGTGAACAACGGCCTCTCTTGTTCTCATACACTACAGCAGCATCCCCTCAGCCTCCGCCGTTCCCGCTCCTCCAGGGCAAATGAAATATTGCTACAGGCCTTCAGGGTCTCTGCGCATCATTCACAGATATCAGCTGTTATTGATTTAGGAATATATATTTAATCAAAATGTTTGCACACTCGGACTCTTGGCGCCAGATCCTGATCAAATACACCTTTATGTTAGCGGGGCCTGCTCTCTATCACTGTATGCAACACAATTTATGTTTAGAGTGCAAATTGATTTGAAACGCGGCCGTAAAGACTGGTCTTTTAGCAACGGAATCGATATGGCAAGGAGATAACTGCCCTTCACATAAGGAAACTGTGAAAATCAAAGGGATAATTATACTTGAGCTAGCATCAAGTCGACCTGAGAATACATAGTACCAGTACACTGAAATCCACAAATTGCTTGTCATACCAATGTGAGCCAGTGGTATATAGACGGAAAGAAAGTTAAATGTGTTGGGGAGAATGCAGGATTCGGAATAACACGTGGTTAAGTAATAAGTATTTGAAGTGGATTTATCTTCCTGCAAATTGGATTTTAAATGATTGATTGTGATAAGATGGTGAAGTTGGTAGTGTCACGTCAGGGAAGAAATAGCGTGTTAATGAAAGCATACCCGGCGATCTATGGTTGGAGTAAGCGCCAAATAATAAGACTTCAGGATCTGTGAAATGAATTGGAACAGCGGTAAGCATCCCTATTCAAATATACGAATTATTTCGTATTTTATCAGTTGTGTGAATCATCCTATGCATCGGTTTACGAGATGGTGATCAAAAGGTACATCATACTTTATAATTATTCTAATCATATGCAAATCAATTCAGTCTGCCGATGTTAATTCACGTTGAGACTTCGTCCTATTCAGCGCAATTAGTGTGTCATTAAAACAGCATGTGTGAACAATATGATCCTGTGTTTTTGTCTCTAAGCACACAACACACGACTGTTTGATTAAATTTATGGTAGAAATAAGACACTGTTCGTTGGGTTGTTTCCGTCAGAGTAATGTGATTGTTTACGTCATGTTTCTTCATAACAGATACTTCATTATTTCTTATTAATGATATTTTAACGTCATGTTTAGACGGATGATGTGTATTTATGTGGAAGATAAAGCTAGTAATGTGTAACACGTCATGCCTTGAACTGTTTTTATGAATAAGTCTGACAGCAAGCTATAAATATCATACGCCATAAATATATATATATGAGTAGGATATGTGCCACCGCGTCCCCTTATAATCGTAAATATGTTGAGGTAAAATATCCATGATTTATTCCTCTCGGGAGGATGTCATAAAAAGAGCGCTTTAATGTTTTCTTTCAATTATTACCAGTAAAAGAAAGTTTAAATGTATGGCACTATTTTCCTGCGGGGCATTTTGTCAGTTTTTTTAAGAGTGAAGAAAGCTGTTTAAGTAAGCTAACAGATTTAAAGTAAATGTATTTAATTGTGCAATAAACTAACAGATATCTGTTTGTGACAGCATAATCCTGTAGTATAAGCACTTGTGTTAACGCCTACATTTCCCCATAGACAGCTGGTATCGCATCGGAGAGGCTTTAATAGTGTTTATCTATTTTGAACGTTTCTCTTTTATGTGAAAATGATGTGATAAAATATTTCGTTTTGTCTGAGAAAGTCGTTGTTGATCCTCACATTAACATTTCTGCTTAGAGCATTCACAAATGAAGTGATTCGGTAAATTATTTAAAGTTAAAAGGGATAGTTTTGCTGGCACCGTTATTGAGGGACAATTCTTCACCTGGAGATATATATATGTATATCCGATATTTCGATATTTTATTTATTATATGATATTTATATAGCGCACATATCCAGGCAACTAGTGCTTTGCTCAAGGCGCTGGTATTTTTTTCCCTCGATCATTGGATGTCAGTCTCAACGGCACATCGTGTTATCAATCTCAACATCCTGGGGAGCATACAACTCTTGCAGCCACTAGGCGCACCAAGTTATTGTGGCCTTCTCATCCTTCTCATCCTACCCGCAACTTGGTGTTTGCACGTATTCATGTGGCCACCATCTGGTCATATACCAACGGATTCGTGGGTTCTTTTAAGAGCACAAGGATGTGTACTGTACACTAGGGGTTGTGACAACACTGAAAGAGTCTGCACACCAAGTTGACTCCGAGGTTTTTACACCCGGTCACAGGTGGGCTCGATCCCGACACCTCACCGCTGGATCACTAGCCTGGCACCTTAGCCAGCTCGCCCACCGCGCCCCACATATTGGATAAACCTACGTTTTTACCAGCTCCAAACTTTGAAGAAAATATATGAAAGGATCACACGACATAATGCTAAATTAAGTTTCATTTTCAGAGAACCATATGCAACCATACATCAACAGTAGTCTGCAATATATTGGTAACGGTTGATTTATATCCCATAACTAAATAACCATGAATGAATAAAGTCATGCTGCCGTTTTTCAAATGCGTTGTTGTATTTCTTTTAACTTCTAAAACACTTTTATGCAAATACCATCTAACGAAACCACATAAACCAACACTGCAAAGATAATATCCCAATAACCTATGCATAATATATGTAAGAAAGTAATATGTATTAAATTCGTGAATGTTTTAAAGTAAGTTTTGAATTTCAAAACGTTAGAAAGTCAGAAAGTTCATTTTGGTATAGTCAAAACATATATTATGTAGAAATTGTTCTTTATAATTGATGACATTACAAGTCAGTTATTGCCAACTCTCCTGTTTAACGCAAACTGTTTTACAACAGGAAATGCATATAGGCTAGAACTGGAAACTGGATATTGTTTCATGTAAATGTTATTTGACATTTGACCATCAAAGAGGCAAGCATTTCGTTACCGCGAGCAAGAGCTTATCGAGTTATGCGTTTTCGACACGCACGTATTGGCGTAAGGATCAAAGCAACTTTTAGACATACGTCAAGCATAGACCACCAAAAACGCAAAATATTGCCGCAACTTATACCAATTTTACGCCATTTATAATCCTCCCTCAATAATTCAAAGAGAGGGGAAATACGCCTCGATCACGTGAACTTGAAATACCGGAAATGTTCATTTCACACATCACGTGATGTAAAGAGCGCATGAAACGCGTCATGTGCCTATTACCATATGTTAACACACTTGGTTGTTCCGAGTCGTTACAGTGCACACATGATACTTGCAATACACGTAGCTTTTAAAGGGTCGTAAAACTCTTTTTAGAAAAGTACATTGCAGACCTGGAATTTCCTATGTAGATATATGGGCAAAAAATAGTGATTTACGATAAGCTATTTAATTCTCATATTTATCTTTCCAAAAAACAAAACAAATTGTAATGAGTTTGGGTAAACTTATAACCAGGTTCTGGCCGGTAACATACGAGTTGTGAGAGTGGGAGATGTTATTTCAAGCTTGGCTTCACACAGCTCGTTTGCTGCTAATAATGAATGTTCAAGCATATTTAGGTGTATGTTTCTTATGTTTTGACCCATGCATCTATATCAGGCTGACAACAAAGGAAATGGACACCAGTTTTGACTAATATTCCGTTCTACAAATATTGATTGTATATATTTGGTATCATATAAGGAACTGTCTATGCTAATATGTCTCCCAGACCGTTGGGAATTAATTTTTATAAGAAGTACAAACCAAGCCAAGATGATTGCGCAAGTCTAGGTAACCTCTCTCCCCTGCCCTTTAGAATAAAGAAAGAAAGAAATCCAAACCAAGTCTAGAAGGATCTGGCAAATCTGGATAATCTATTGCTCAGACCATTGGGAATACATTAATACAAGATCCCAAACCAAGTCTAGAATGACCCGCAAGTCCAGAAAATCTATCGCCCAGACCCTTTAGAATAAGTTA